TATATGCGTGGGTGTGTGTATGTGTGTGTGTGCGTGTGTATGTGCGTGTATGTGCGTGTGTGTAGGTGTGTGTGTGTTTATGCGTATACGTGTGTATGTGGTGGGGGGGGGGGGCGTGTTTGGTAGACAGCAGCCGGATTTCATCATGTAGCTACAATAGAATTTGAGTGTTGTAACGCACGCACACCCAAATCATATTTTTTTCATTTTAGTGAATTATGTAAGAATGTGGGTAGCAGAGAGATTTTGTTAAATTTTATCAAATTGCTTGTTGACTTTATTCCGTGCAGAAATTAAAGTTGTATCTACATGGATAGATCACCGTATAGCAACAGGTGTGAATGCCATGGTTTTATGTATACATATGGTTTACGGTACTTTTAATGCAGAGAATTACATTTTCTATCGTCATGCTTGTGATTGTAGGTCGTTCTATAGACCCCAAATAATAGTCGTCATTTTCTTTCAAATAGGGATTGTGAAGTCATAAAATTCGATTTGATGTTAAGTGGCTGCTAATCATATTTATCGACCAAACTATAGTACAAGTGCTTTCTTGTGCAATCCATCTTCGTCGGAGATCACAAATATTCTGTAGTATCCTAGCACGACCTCGCTGAGCATCTGGGGGGTTTGTTCGCTTTGGTACGTTCCCACTAATTATTCTTCTTTTTCGTTGACAGCTAAAGATGAGTATGTTGTGGCTCTCCATGTCAATGGAGTCCACAGGGGACAGACCTTCGTTTCCAAAAAATCGGAGAGTCCCTACTGGAACAGCTCATTTGTGTTCCAAACGGACAATGTCGTCAGTGTGAATATGGAGATCATAACCAGTTTGAACATCGACAAAACACACAACATGTATGTTCACCGATGACGTGTGTACTTTGTAGCCAGCATGTCGCGTTGTACATCCTCGAATGGTTTTCATATATATTGTGCTTCATAAATACAATGACAAGACCAGTCAACACTGCCGCGGCATGGACATCGAAGCTTCTTAAGCATAGTGAATATCTCTCGAGAATTTAAAAAATGTCGTACTCTATCGCGTTTAAATCATCTGGAATCAGCAAACCAATTTTCTCTTCAATTACTACTGTGAATGTATTTGCAGTGCGAGTAAGAGGTCTTCCACAAAGATGGCACGGAGGGTTAAAGCCAAATCCACGTCCATTCGGTCATCCCGCGGTTCACTGACAGATCTTATCGAAGGCCAAAACGAGCAACTTATCGCGATGACCGATGGTGCTATTTTGAAATGCCGCATCACGTACTCTCCCAAATGTGACATAGACGCGTCGCTGGCAAGTCAAAACCTGAAGTATGTCACATTGTATTTGGTCAAATGCAATAATCAGCAACTTCGAGATCATATTGTACCACGTCAAGGTTCAGCGCGCGGCATCTAATTAACATTCTTCAGTATTTCCACCTTTACGTTTTGCATTTGGTATTCTTCTGTCGAGAAGATACAGCTTCTTTGAACTTATTGTTTATCGTTGCAGTCTTGACCGTAGAATTCGCGAGGCTACTGGGTTTTACATGGTTTTCGTATTCTGGCGGATGTCATCAGCATTTCAAGGTGTCATGCGTATACAACAGTCGCTGAATCAATCCCACGTTGTGTGCATCATTCGGAAACTTACTGTTTCATCGTTCGTCTTATCGTATTCGCAGATGCACATACGTAAAGCTGATAAATGCTCGGCACTTGAAGGTAAAGAGCACAATGCCCGGCACTTACTGTATACTTCAGTGCGAGAGGTCGGTCGTTCGCACCCTTGTGGTACCCTCACTCACAGGTACGTTCCCATTATCATTGCATGTGACCTCTATTGAGTTGGATCTAAATCGACAGGGGAGGATGTACTCCGCCCATTGGCGTAAGCGCGTGAAATTGTGCTGTGTCGTTGTTCTGTTAGATAAAGCGTGTAAGCGGTCGTCGTGACTCGTGCGCGGAGGGGTAGTATCTAGCACTTTGTAATGATATCTTATCGAGTGTACTTCATTTGTGGTTTCAAATTACAGAACCGGTTTGGAACTGTGGGTTTCTAGTCGTCAGCAGGCGGAAATCGAGTGGTGCGAAAGTCAAGATTCGTGTGCTGGGCGAGGGGAATGAATTTCTGGGTCAGACAAGGCTTCATATAGAAGATGTACCCTACCGAGCGCCGGGGGATAGTTCTGTCGCCGAGATCACCGAGAAGTAGGTTGCAATGTTTATGATGTGTTTTCAACAGTGGATGGTGATAAAATTGATCGTGAGTATGATGCTGCATCTATCGTTTACTGGTTTTCCATATTCTACGTATTGCAGAATACACTCAGTATGGTGTAATTTATGTAGATTTTGCTCCCTTTTTTTTTTTACTGGACGCTGTGTATATTGCCTGTTGACTTTTTGTAACTCAAATTTCGCAGATGGCGGGATTTAGAGAAAAAAAATCACAAACCTACCCCAGATAGCAGACTGCTGATCGAAGCGTATAACATCGGGTCAACATCACCGTTACCAGACAACCTGTATCCTGCATTGACACCGGAACCTCTATGTGAGGAACCAGATACCAAGCTTCGTATTCAAGAAAGCGTTAGTTCTCTGGCCTTTGCTGTCCGGCCATCCGAAGCCGATGGCGTAGGGGTCAACTCAGAGGACATATCCTTGAAGGTGGGCTGTTTGTACAGTGTATGCTTTCCACATCGCAGTGACTGCTGAATGTTTGTTCTCATGCTCAAATAGTAAACCTTTTTATATGCTATTATCCCATGGCAAATTACGATTACAATAGGTATGGATGAGCCGTTATGACAGCTAGTATTCAGATGCACTGTACAATCACTATGAACCACAGAGCTACAGCAGTGAGGATGATTTCGATGGAGAGCCCCCTTTGGAGTCACAACGCAGTTACCCGACGTCCCCATCACCAACTCCTAAGTTCATTCGAAGGTCAATTTCTGGTGCTACAATCGTGACAAACACATCGGATCAAGGAGGATTAAAGAATAGAAGGCTCACTCTCGCCCGATCGCAGTCCCAGTACCCCGTAAATAATCACGACAACAGACACGGAAAGCAATATAGGCGATCGTCCTTGGACGAAGGTTCCATTCATTCGGGAGAATTGGTTTCAGGTATTAGGCTAAATACAAGACTAGTCGTGATACTTTTTCCTGTTCGTTCTGTAGCGGAGCTTTTAGCTCTGGTTGTAGATTAGTTCTCAAAATTGAACGCTGTCTCACATCAGGATCAGGCTCAATCTGCCAGCCGGTAAGGACTGCAAAGCCGAAATGGCCAATTTTGACAGCTTATTCCCAAAATACTTCATCGAAAGGTATTGATTCTGATTGAACCGAAGTGTCATTGCCGAATCATGTATATTACATGGGCCGGGTTTGCTATATACACATACACATAGGCAATGATCTTTATTTTGAGTGAAATTTCCTTCGGCTGGGTTACACAGGGCTGGCATCGTACACCGATATATCGCTATTGATAGCAGTAGATGTATTCGTATGTTTTCGAGTGCGAACGTTGCACGGAGAACTTCGAATACGTTTATTCTTGCTGAGTTTCCATTGTAAACATCTGTTTGAATCTGTGGTATAAGATTCTGTAATAGTCGAAAGATATAGCAACGCGTTTTACTTTTAGTTGTTTTTTAACATGTATACCAACTATGGAAGTAGAGTGGACTGTTACTTGCGAACGCCACAGAATGGGCTGTTACTTACGAGCGCCACTGCAACCTTTTCCTTGCAGATAATGAAACCCAAGGCACTAGGAATATCAGCTACACAAGCCATCCACCGACAAATCTTAGTGAACGGCCAACATCCGGGTCCAGTACAACTGTTGCTTTGTCTTCCGGCGCCACAGTCAGTTCCCTGAGCGCAACAAGAGGTAAGGAGTGGCAAATCCAGTGCATTTGAGGGCATCAGATCGGCAGACATGTGCATGTACGGTTAGGTTTTTTTGTTCGCAATATTGTCATGACATGAAGTTGTGTTTTCGGTTTTTGTAGAGTTTGATGTGTTCGTTACCAGTCTGTAGATCTTTCTGATAGTGATCGTCGTTCTCGAAGTGCGGACCGTATATCTGTTTTAATATCGATTCTGGTACTACTATTGCTGTAATGACATTTCTTGTACAGGCCCCACCCCTATGGCGAGCGGTGCCAGCAGCTCTGTACAACAGTCGGCACCGCTGTCAAAAAGTATCCCACCCAATATGTGTGTCTACGTTAAAGTGTGCCAAGCCAGGTCGCTTCCTCATTGGCCGTTGGGTAGGAATCCGCGTTCATTCGTGTCTGTCTCTGTAAGAGATCGCAAAGCTGCCACCAAGCGTCTGGGAGAAAAGCCAGAGTTTGGTTCTCACTCGCACATCTCACCGAAGGTACGCGAGTGCGAATATTCGAATGATATGGCTATGTTCTTGTTTTCCTGACTTGTAATTGTGGTATCGATTCTATTTCTGTAGGATGCTGAGTGATGATGTAGCATTCTAGCAAGTCTGCCTTATCCTATTCTCTATTCTGCAACCATTTTGCTACCGGAGACCTCTACCGACCAAGATCTTTCAAGGCACTCATCCTGTGATTAATTTTTCAATCTCATTGCTATTCTCTGAAAGTGGAATGAAGTTGTGCTAGTGCCTGTATCAGACAAGGATGGCACTGTAGACATCAAAGTTTACACAGAAATAACTAGCACCGTCATGCGAGATATGTCCAATGCTGTCGGAAAAGCCAAATTCCCCATTATGTATCTACCTGTACTTTCGGTGATGCCGGATGGTACAGCAGACGATGTACCTGATAGCCATGACACGAAAGGTATCGATGAGAAAAGCTAGTGGTGTTGTTTTCCTGAACAAATAGGTACAATATTTGAGCTGCGCTTCCAGTTGTCAAATTATGTCATTGATGCCTGGTAGCTCACGACTAAGGGATTTCTACAATTACTAAACCTATTTTCATCATTTGCAACCTTGTATATTCATAGGTTCCGTCAAGAATCAAACCACCCGCTTGCCAAACACACTCTCCCTAACCGTATCAGAGAAGGGACATATAGAGCACGAGGTATTTGTCCGCACGTTGTGTTCGTTGAGCGCTCATCTTTGAATTTATCTGAATACTTCAATTGTGTTTATAAGCCTATATATGTACAATAACGTTCCCATTAGTTCATTTAGTTGAACATGCGTCGAATGCTTGTCGAGCTGATGGTTCTGCAATTTAGGCCGTTCATTTTGTTGATATCACTTACTTCTAATATCTTACCGCACAGGCATTACAACAAATTGGTCCTAACAAACCAGCTTCCGAGCCTCTCACTTTGTGGCTGACACTAGAGAAACCCAAGAGGGCGAATCCTTATATGGAGATGAGAGCCAAACGCCGTTCACATAACAGTCATGGTGAATTGAAAGTACAACTTGGTCTCGTTCCGACACCGGAGGAGTTATTAGAAAGTCCCGATTTCGATAATCCGATCGCCGACCCAGGTGATCCAGAAGGGGTATGCATCTATACATCAAAGGATGAATCAATGTCACGTGTTCGGCTAATTTCGGGATCGTGCATCACTATATATATACTACATATATATTTAT